AAAAAGCTTCCAACTCCAAACTTTGTTTACTGCTCAGTAATAGTCCTTGACCAGGACATCCTTTGATGTATCTGACTAGCCTCAAGGCTGCTTCCCAATATGACATTTTAGGCTGCTGCATGAACTGTGAAAGCACTTGAACAGCAAAACTGATGTCAGGTCTGGTGATAGTCAAATATATCAGTCTTCCAATTAATCTTTGATAGCATGTTATGTCTTTGAATAAAGGATCATCATCGAGTCCTGTCAATTTATCATACTGCATTGTGGTGAGTTTGGTGTTTGCTTCCAAAGGTGTGGTCACTGGTTTAGCACCACTCAGACCAGTGTCTGAGATTAACTCAAGAGCATATTTTCTTTGGTTGAGCAAAATTCCAGACTTAGACCTCATAATCTCAATTCCTAGAAAGTACTTGAGATCGCCAAGATCTTTCATCTTAAATTTACTATGAAGAGATTCCTTCAACTGTTGTATTAATTTGCTGCTGTTACCTGTCAGGAATAAATCATCCACATAAATGAGGATCACAGCTATGTATTGCCCATCCCTTTTTGTGAAAAGGGAGTGATCATAGGGACTTTGTGAATAGCCAATAGAGAATAGGACCTCAGTCAATTTTAGATTCCACTGCCTGGAGGCCTGTTTGAGGCCATAAAGAGACTTGAGCAGCTTACACACCTTATACTCCCCCTGCCTCTGAAAACCCTGAGGCATGTCCATGTAGATATCCTCAAGAAGATCACCCTGCAGAAAGGCATTATGGACATCCATTTGGTAAAGAGGCCAAGAGTGTGATGCAGCTACACTGATAACAGTTCTTACTGTAACCATTTTGGCAACAGGGAAGAATGTCTCATTATAATCCAGACCCTCCTGCTGATTATAACCTTTTGCAACAAGCCTTGCTTTGTACCTTTCAACCTCACCATTAGCCTGAAGTTTGATTTTGTATATCCATTTAGAGCCAATAGCCTTTTTTCCATGAGGAAGGTCCACCACACTCCATGTGTTATTTTGCTCTAAGGCTGTAATTTCATCTTTCATAGCAGCAATCCACTCTTTACTACTGGAGGCATCTTTAAAGGTGGTTGGCTCAGAAGAATTAGAAAGAGCAGTTAAAAAGGACTTATAGGAACAGCTCAGCTTGGAGTAGACAACATAGTCTCCAATAGGATAAAGACAAGTAGAATGAGGGGTTTGGATACAACATAGTCCTGGTGCCAAATGGGAGGCCTAACAGACCTATTGGGTCTTGTAGTAGAAGGTGCAACAATTTCCATAACAGGTGTAGAGGTGGCATGCTTAGCAGATGGTAGAGGAACTGCACTAGGGGGAGAGACATCAGTAGTTGTACTAGGAGGGGTTGAAACCTCCTCTGCACATTCAACCTGCACTCCAGGACTTGTGTCAAATGGAGTAGGAATGGATGCTTGTGATAAAGGAGTAAAAAGGGGTTCCAGGAGATCATGCAGGGCCCTAGGAGAGGAGTCAGACTGGAAAGGAAACTCATGTTCTACAAAGGTGACATCCCTACTAACATGAAAGGAATGCAACTCAAGATCAAACACTCTATATCCCTTTTGAGTTTCAGCATAGCCCATGAAAACACCCTTCTTTGCTCTAGGAGCAAATTTATCGGATTTAGGCAGTACAGATATGAAACAAAGGCAACCAAATACCCTTAGATGATCTAGGTGTGGTGGAGTACCGTACAATAATTCATGGGGGACTTTCCTTGCAAACCAGTTGTAGGAAGTTTATTGATTAAGTATACTGCTGCCTTGACACAATGACCCCAATAAGAGATATGAATGGAGGCTTGAAATCTTAATGCCCTGGCAGTATTGAGTATGTGTCTATGCTTTCTTTCCACCACCCCATTCTGTTGGGGTGTATAAGCACAAGAACTTTGATGTACTATCCCAAGAGAGGCTAATAAATCGTTACAGTTGGAATTCATAAACTCTGTGCCATTATCACTTCTCAACACCTTCACTTTAGTGTCAAATTGAGTGTTTACCATTAACAGAAAAATTTTCAATACAGAGTAGACTTCAGTTTTGGAATGAATCAAACAAAGCACGAGAATCTACTGTAATCATCAACTATGGTCACAAAGTATTGCTTCTTGTCATAAGTTGGAGTCCTATAGGGACCCCATACATCTATATGAACCAACTGAAATATGAGACTAGATTTATGTAAACTAGAAGGAAAACTAGGTCTACTTTGCTTAGCTTGAGGGCAGATATGGCAGCAAGGAAGAGTAGACAAGTTGCTAGTCAAAGATGGAATATGTTGCATTGCTGTCAGTGAAGGATGACCAAGCCTCAAGTGCCACAATGTGGTGAAGTTATCATCCTTTATTGCAGCAGTAGTCACTGCATTAATGGTGTCTTTTAACAAGTATAAGCCTCCAGCTTCTCTACCAATCCCAATCACCTTCCCACTGTAAAGACCCTGCAATACACAAAAATTAGGGAAGAAACTGACACTACACACTAGATCTTTGGTCAACTGACAACAAGTTAAACTTGAAATCAGGAACAAGCAAAATATCCTTCAGTGTGTGATCACCCAGGATAGTAGAGCAACCTATGCCTGCAATAGGAGCCCTGTTGCCTGTGGGCAATTGAACAGTATTTGATCCTTGATTACCAAGACACCTTGAATGTGATAACATGTCCTTACAAGAAGTAACATGATGAGTAGCACCAGAGTCAATGATCCACTCATGTTCGCAAACATTAGGTGTGAGTGATACATTACCTGTGAAATTGGCTTTAAGATCACCATCACCACCTGAATTGTGTCTAAGGTTCTGCACATGATTATATTCTTCTTCTGTAAGTGTGAGAGCATGTCCCTGTCCTGCAGAAGTAGCATAGTTAGCAGAAGACTTGAAACCAGTAGAATCCTGTTGAAAACCACGAGTGGATCTGGAACTGCTGGATGCATCTGTCTTTCTCTTGCTTTTGAAATCAGTTGGATATCCAATTATTCTGTAACAATCCTTACTCAAGTGGTTTCTATAACCGCAGTGCACACATGGATTATCCAGTAATTTTTTTCCTTTGAATCCTGGCTTTCGATTAGCCAGCATAGTGAGGGGTTCCTTATGAATCTCCACAACACTCAACAATCTCTGACTTTCCTCTTGAACTGCTGTGGCATATGCCTGATTAACACTGGGCACAGTAGTTTTGAGTAGTAAATCACTTCTAATATGGCTATAGGACTCATTTAATCCCATTAGAAACATCAATAACCTCTGCTGATTAAGATGTTCTATGTAAGGTTTGGCTTCAACACAATTACATAAAGGAGCAGGTACTAAAACATCCCGTTCATCCCACAGATCCCTCAATTTAGAATAGTAAGTAGTTACAGAATCATTGCCTTGTTTCAAAGAGGATACCTCTGTCCATATGTGATACACTCTCGTAAGATTGGATTTATCGAACCTTTCCTTGAAGTCGTCCCAAACTTGTTTTGCATTTGACGCGTATACAATAGTAGTGAGTAATTCTGAAGCTACTGTACTGCTGATCCATGAAAGTACCACGGCGTTGCATCTTTCCCATTGAGCTTCTAGATCTCCTGTGTACGAGCTTTTTAGGCAAGTTCCATCAACAAAACTGAGCTTGTTCTTCACCAGTAAAGCAAGCCTGAACAATCTGCTCCAGAGGCCATAATTTTCTGGACCTGTGAGCTTAGTCGTAATGAGAGCTACACTTGGTGCATCTGAAACCTGTAAGTATAGAGGATGATTATGTGGAAGAGTATCAACTGTCAATTCTGCCATTACAGATATGCAGTTGCTGAATTTTAATTCGAATTGCAGCTGGGTGATTGATCCTTGTATCGCTGCTCTGATACCATGTCAAGTTATGCTTTGATGATGAAAGCCATGGAAGTTATTCTTCCATGGAAGAGAATGGAGAAGAGAAACGTGTGTAGAAGAGGAAGAAGAAGTTATTTCATTATCAGAATGTTTCCTTTACAATAAGAAGTCCTTCACACTTTTATAGATGGATCATTCTAGAATGTGTGATTAGTAGGTCCTAACTAACTCACTGATCACTGTAAAACAGTTACAACAAACTTTCTTTACAGCTAACTTTAACTAACCATACACCTATTTAACAATCACTTCTTAATAGTTTAGGATTGAGTAGTCTCCAAGAATTCTAATTAAAATTGAACACACCTTCTAGAGTCCCAATTCAAATTGAACACGTTTTGTAGAGTCCCACAAAATTTTAATCTCTACCAATATTACTACAATTATTTAGTAAGTTTTTAAAGTGATATGCCATAGTCGAAAATATATTTATTTTTGTTACTCCCTCGTACTATATAGTATGTTAATCTGAGCCACAGTTACATAGTAAAGTCTGACCAGCTGAGCTTAAGATGATGTATTACCAAATGAACTTTGGGAAACATCGAAAACTGTTAAGAATACACAGACCTTGAACTCACATTCATCAATGGTGAAGACATATTCAGAGAGAAAGAAGAGTTGTTCAGACAATGAGACAAAAGGCACTTTGAAGAATGCAAAGTGTTTTAAGCCTTGGAATAGTCAGCAGCAACGTGGCACAGATCAGGCCCTTAATACTGATTTAGTCAAAGAAAAGATTTGTGCCGTCCACATCAGTGACTTCAGGAAGTTTCCTTACAAAGCACGTGACAAGCACAAGCTTGGCATAGACAAGGAATAAAGTTTGTTAGGAAAATTGTACATAGACAATAGGAATATTACAAGTAGGATAGAATTTAACATTATTTATTTTCTTATTATACTTGTATATATATTTGAATGATGGTACAGTAATGAAACACGAGAAAATTTCCACATTGTCTCTTGATAAATTTCTACATGGTATCAGAGCAGTGATCAAAATCCTTCCAGATTTATTCAAAATCTGTTCTTCTTTTCTCGTTTGAGCAATGGGTGACCCATCGACAACACTTGCTGCTACAATAACAACATTGCAGGCTATTTCACACAACTAAAAAGGTTATGGGATGAGTTGGATTCCCTAAACTCAAACATCAAGTGTGGTTGTGTGTGTGTTTGTGAGGGAAAACAGAAGCTGGAGAAGTCTTTGCAAGATGAAAGGCTCATCAAATTCCTTATGGGATTAAACGACACATATTCACAGGCCAGGGGTAATATTTTGATGATTAACCCCTTGCCTAACATTAACCTTGCATACTCCTTGATTTTACAGGATGAACATCAAAGGGAAAGCTATATGAATCCTCTCATTCCTTCTGATTCCAGTGCTTTTATGGCTGGAACTGGAGGTTTCATGACTGGGAATAGAAACCAATATAGAGGTGGAAAGCAGGTTCAAAGGACTAATGATGCTAATTAGAAATATGGAAATCAATTTCCCAGAGCTGCACAACCTCAACAGTCACAGAGATTTCAAAATCAAAAGCTTAAAGGAGGGAGAATGAAATATAACCCTAATGTGTCATGTGATTACTGTGGAAAACAAGGACATGAAGAAATAAAATGTTACAGATTGATAGGGTATCCTGATGATTTTCAATTCACAAATAACAAAGGCTCTCAAGGACAAATTAGAGGAAATGCAGCAGTGTCTATGGAGGACTTTGAAGGAAAACACAATAACTGTAGTGGCAATGCTGCACTCAATCAAGGGTACAGTAAAGAGCAATATAATCAATTTATTCACATGTTTAAACAAATGAAGATGGAAGAGTTAGCAGACACAAGTGGAGGACATGCAATTAATGCAAATGCAGTGGCTGGTACAATCTTGAAATACATTGGCTCATGTTTTTCAGTTTTAAATTCTAATACCTGGATAGTAGACTCAGGTGCTTCAGAACATATGTGTTATAATTCAAGTTGCTTCACTTCTATGTGTCTTCTTAAAGTCCCTTTGACTATTAATCTTCCTAATTGTCATACCATTCAAGTCACTCATATAGGAACAGTCTCTTTATTCTCAGATATTGCTATAGAAAATGTTTTATATGTCCCAAGTTTCAAATTCAATCTCATGTCTGTAAATAGATTTTGTCGACAATTTCATTCTATCTTGTTCTTTACATCAAATGAGTGTGTTATGCAGGGCCCTTTAATGAGGAGGCCTCAAGTTTTTGGTGAAGCTAAGGAAGGACTCTATCTACTCCAGCCCAATGTAAAAGAGTCTAGTTTCAATCCTACCAAAGAAGTGCCAATTATGTCAAGAGATGTTCCTAGTTCTAGTTTCTTTCCTTTTAATGTTTCTAGTATGTCTGAGTCTGTCCCTAGTGGAGTTTCTTCTATATGTAGTAGTGTTGTTTCTAATGTAAAACTTTGGCACATTAGATTGGGGCATTTGCCTTTCTCATCAATGAAACATCTCAGTTCTATCTATATTTAGACTAATCTTGATTGTTTTTGTGATATATGTCCTAAAGCAAGACAATCTAGATTGCCTTTTATTATAAGTCCTAAATCTACTAAGGCCAAATTTGACCTGATTCACATTGACACATGGGGACCTTATAAAGTACCCACCTATAATAATTATAGGTATTTTCTCACCATAGTGGATGATTATAGTAGAAGTGTTTGGACATATCTGTTGACAAATAAGAGCAATGCATTTTCAGTTTTGAAATGCTTCTTACAGATGATAGAAAGGCAGTTCAACACTAAGGTGAAAGTGATAAGGTCAGATAATGCTCTGGAATTGGGAAAGAGTATATTAGCCACTTCTTACTTCCAATCTCAAGGTATAATCCATCAAACTTCATGTGTTGCCACTCCTCAACAAAATGGTGTAGTTGAGAGGAAGCATAGACATCTTCTTGAAATTGCTCGAGCTCTCTTGTTTCAATCTCATGTTCCTATGGTTTACTGGGGAGAGTGTGTTCTCACTGCCACATTTTTTATCAACAGATTGCCTTCTAGAGTCTTGCAGGGTGCTACTCCTTATGATATTTTGTATGAGAAATCACCTTCTTATCAACATCTGAAATGTTTTGGATGCTTGTGTTATGCCAACACTTTAGCTCATGGCAGGACAAAATTTGAACCAAGGGCAAAAGCATGTGTGTTTCTAGGTTATCCCAGTGACCAAAAAGGGTACAAGCTGTTAGACCTCACAATCAAGAAAGTGTTTGTCTCTAGGAATGTCTTTTTCCATGAAGAAATTTTTCCCTTTTCAATGGATCCTGCAGATCAACCATCCCACATTTTTCCTATTCCAACTGTTGTTAATGAGGTGTATAATGATTCTGATTTCCTTGCACCTACAGATTCCAGTTTCAACACAACCTCATCTTCTCAGTCAGATCATGTTGTTTGTTCTAATCCTGATTCCCTTTCCACTCCTACACCTCCACATGTGCCATCAACCTCTCAACCTCCTGTTCATCCTAATATCAGAAGGTCAACCAGATCCAACAAAGGTACCATGCCCAGTCATCTAAAGGACTATTTTTGCAACACCATATTTCTTAGTTCTGTAACTGATTCATGTTTTACTACACCTCCTCAACCTACTGTCCTTTCCTTTGCTGGTCTTTCTCTACCTAATCAAGTCACTCTCCAATTAGTCTCAGACATCACAGAACCTACTAGTTATGTTCAAGCCTCTACTCATCCTAGTTGGGTCAAGGCCATGCAAGAAGAACTTGCTTCCTTAGAATTCAACCATACTTGGGATGTCGTTTGTCTTCCTCCAGGTAGAAAAGCACTTCCTTGTAAGTGGGTTTACAAGATCAAACATCATGCAGATGGTTCTCTAGAAAGGCTAAAGGCACGATTGGTCATTAGAGGTGATATTCAAAAGGAGGGAATAGATTTCAATGAAACTTTTTCCCCCGTGGTCAAGATGACCACTGTCAGGTGTTTGCTTTCTATTGCAGCTAAAAAGAATTAGGTAGTGTCCCAATTTGATGTGAACAATGCCTTCTTGCAAGGTGATTTGCAAGAAGAAGTATATATGAAGTTTCCAGCTGGTCTGTCTTCACCACAGCCTAATTTGGTTTGTAAACTCAAAAGGTCTCTTTATGGTTTGAAGCAAGCCTCTAGGCAATGGTATGCTAGGCTTGCTGGGGCATTAAGTTTCAAAGGTTTCACTGCATCCTTAAACGACTACTCATTATTTTTTAAAAGAAATGGTGCTCTAGTTTCTATAGTAGCAGTGTATGTGGATGACATACTGATTACAGGTGATGATGATGCAGAAATCCAATCCCTTAAATCATTTCTTCATGCTGAGTTTAAAATTAAAGATCTTGGTCCTATTCACTATTTCCTCGGCATGGAAATTCTGAGAGAAGATCATGGAATTATTGTGAGTCAACGAAAATATGCCTTGGATTTGATCCAAGAGTTTGATGTCTCTCATTTGTCGCCTGTTTCATCTCCCATGGATCCCTCATGTAAGTTGACTGCAGATTCAGATGACTACTTGTTAGATCCTACCATTTATAGACATCTCATTGGAAAGTTGAATTATTTAACTCATACAAGGCCAGATCTATGCTTTGCTGTTTTGACTTTAAGTCAATTTATGCAGAGGCCTTGCAATCTTCATTTCACTGCTGGATTAAGGGTGCTTCGTTACCTTAAAAGTAGTCCTACTCAAGGGATTTTCTTGTCTGCTTCTCCTTCATTCTCCATTTCTGCATTTTGCGATGCCGATTGGGCCTCCTGCAAGGATTCACGACGTTCCGTCAGTGGTTTCTTCATCAGTATGGGTGGGTCTCCCATCTCTTGGAAATCGAAGAAACAAGCATCAATGTCTCTTTCCTCCGCCGAAGTGGAATATAGATCGATGAGGAGATTGGTCACAGAACTGACCTGGTTGACTCGTCTCCTGGCAGATATGTCTATTTCACCATCATTGCCGGTGCCAGTGTATTCCGACAGCCAAGTGGCGATGCACATTGCTCGGAATCCATTTTTCCATGAGAGAACGAAACACGTAGAGCTTGACTGTCACTTTGTTCGTCAGCAATATCTCTCTGGCCTCATTTCTCTCTCATTTGTTCCCTCCAAAGATCAACCAGCCGACATTCTCACAAAGCCTTTGTCCGCACCTTCTCACCATCATCTTCTTCGCAAGATGGGTATCACTTTGCTCCCCTCCATCTTGAGGGGGGATGTTAAGAATACACAGACCTTGAACTCACATTCATCAATGGTGAAGACATATTTAGAGAGAAAGAAGAGTTGTTCAGACAATGAGACAAAAGGCACTTTGAAGAATGCAAAGTGTTTTAAGCCTTGGAATAGTCAGCAGCAACGTGGCACAGATCAGGCCCGTAATACTGATTTAGTCAAAGAAAAGATCTGTGCCGTCCACATCAGTGACTTCAGGAAGTTTCCTTACAAAGCACATGACAAGCACAAACTTGGCATAGACAAGGAATAAAGTTTGTTAGGAAAATTGTACATAGCCAATAGGAATATTACAAGTAGGATAGAATTTAACATTATTTATTTTCTTATTATACTTGTATATATATTTGAATGATGGTACAGTAATGAAACACGAGAAAATTTCCACATTGTCTCTTGATAAATTTCTACATATATGTCAAAAACCCCACTTTTAATGTAATTATTGAGCCATGGTTAAGAGTTAAAAAGGAATATTTTTAAAGTTGTGATTTGAAATAAGTCATTAGTATTTATATAATTATAAATTATCTTGTCGAGGTAAAATAGAAAATTTATCAAATTGTATATAGATTTGGATATTTTCTCAGTTCCAATTTATGTAACACCCATTTTACTTAGCTAGCATATGACTACAAAATTTTAAGTATTTTGGCAAGTCACATTTGAGTGAGTTTTAACTTAAGTGAAGTTTCACAATACGTTTGATCATAAATTTTGAAAAAAATATTCGACTTTTTTCAAAAATATGATGTATACCATAATTTTTAAAAATTATTAAAATTACTCATAATTTTTTCTTATCATTTTATAATGAACACATTTCGTTAAATAATAAATGTACAATATAATTGATGACAATCAACAACAACAATAATAATAATATGGGCAAGAGCAGTACAATAATCAATATCTCATACTCAATGTGTCATTGATTTAGAATAAATTATAACCCACTAAAATAGTTCTTTTTAATGAGGTTGGTTATAAATAGATATTATTTTGGATTAATAGATGATGGATACTTTTTATAATATATAAAAGTTTAGGGTAACTTTTAATTTTTTTAAAATTTCTCAATTACTAAAATTTGATGCAAATTCTAGTTTTTTCTAGAACTTGGAAACTTGGGAGTTGGGATGTTTGCCAAATATATTTTTCAAGTACTGACAAATTATATGATCGAACACTAGTTCCCAAGTTTTTTTCCAAATATATTTGTAATCAAACAACACCTTAGTTTGTTTTAAAAAAAAATATTAATCACAGTTTCTTAATTAAAATAATTCAAGTTAAACAGTACCACATAAATTAAACAAAGAAATATTAAATATAAAAATGTATCAAATTCTTTTTGATATTGACTATATATACGGTAGAAATATATTTATCATTCAATTTAGAGTTAAGGTTGAAAATATAAACTTTAATTTATTGAGTTTTATATCCGAACTATTGAAAGTGTGAGTCTTCTATCTGAACGATCACACAATGGTTAAAGAGACATGCTTAAATATTGACTAGATTAAATGTTTGTCTAGAAATGCTTCTTGTCCATTTCATTTACCTGACATATATAACAATTCTATTTGTTGACATATTAATTTCTTAATACATGTTTATTTGACTTCTTCAAAACCACAAACTATCCCTTTCAAGTAAAGAGATATCGATGTCACAACAAAGATGAGACTACAGCTATAAAAGTGGAGATCGAAGAAGATGATGGATGTCATAATTGATATACTAAAAAAAATTAGAATAAAGTATATTTTTTATTCTTTTAAATCTTCTTACTTATGCATGGTTTAGATAGAGTAGTGGGTCTTGTTTTGAGCTTTATTACGTAGTTGATCAACATCTTCTTCCTTTCATTCTCCAGCTGATAGCATAGGGAAGAAGCACTGCAAATTTACTTACACATGAATCATCATCATCATCATAAAACCTCCTAATTAAACCTCTGAAAAACAATGACATCAAATGAGCTCAAATTGTACTGTTACACACACTTTCATCTGTCAGAATTTACGTGATATTCTTTTTTTAGTCTAAATGTTACAGTTTTCTGTAATTAAAAATAATTTAATTATAAAATATAACATCATTTTTATTGTTAATAAAATGATTAATAGACATAAAAATGTCTAATATGTATTTCAAATTTATTTCTTTTTTCTTAAATTTTATATTAAGTCAAACTGACCTCATGTAAATTGAGACAGAAGAAATATATGGCAAGAATATGTTTACTCATAAAAAA